TGCTGGCAGGGTCATCTCAGCCCTTCAATCTGTCAAGGTAGAGCAACTGAGTTTCCTGTATATGGGCATCTTTGGGACCATAAAAGCCATATGCCTGAGACACAAAGCTCTGACAACCCTGATACTGGGTGTGGGCACTCAAAGCCAGTCTGTGTAACCACTAGACGGGGGGAGGGGGGGTGTTGCATGTCCCAGGCACTCAGGGATGTTCTGATTTACCATACCCCAGATAGATTCAAATTGCAGGGCTCCTGTAGAACTATGACCACCTTTTAAAGATGCCCTCACCCCCCAAGGAGTGTGACAGTGCACATTTAGATGGGGCATTATAAGTTATAGCTTGAGAAAGAGTCCAAGTATACATGTCTACTGCGTAAGCAGCATAATGAGTCTTACATTAAGCCCTACTGATCTGGCTTGGGGAAAATACACTGTCAGCTACATCAGCAAACATAGTACGTACATGGAACAAGCTAATCCTGGAAAAGAAGCCCTCATTTCTAGAATTGTTTCAAAATTTACAGAAACTTATTTCATGGACCACATAAATATTGTAAGATCCATTTTACTGCGGAAAAAAATGATTGCAACTAGGATGCAGGCTTACGCTGTTATAATGACAGTATTTACAGGTAATTGGGGTTTCTTGTTGTTGTTGCTAAACTGTGTCTTGGCTCAGACCTCTCAGTGTTTTCTGGCAGTTAGACTGTACTGAACATACAGTTACTGACCTGAATAGTACTTGCATAATATTTAGAATGCATTGAGAAATTGAGATGGGAGGGGATGGTAAATGGATTTCTAAGCAAAGACGCAAACAAATGTTTAATTCAGATAATAGCTTTAATTTTAATTATTTAATGGAGTGAAAATTAATGGACACTTGGCAGAATTAAATTTGAATAATTGCTTTTGTCATTCAATTTCTGTGGCAATCACTTGCTACTAATTTTGAAACAAAAAGCTTAATTTAATATTTTAAGAATTTGGTGAGTAAACAGCTTTAATATCTTAATAGCACATTAAAATGCAAAGAAATTATCAGTTTTTTCAAGAACAAGGTCAAACGGACACATTTCATCCAATTTTTTAAATAAATTGCATCATCTCAGATGGGGAAAAATTAACATATGGTATATGAAGAAAAACATTTTTAAAGTATTCCTGATTTCAAATTGTATTATGAAATAAATGGTGTACAAAAGAAGGCTGGCTAATTTTACTTTTAAAAGAATGTACAATGTATTTAGCTGAGCAGATGCTTATAACTACCAAAACAATTAGCACTGAAGTGACAATTACTATTCCTTCTTAACTAATTTTTGGTCTGTCTCATGGCCTACCTGTATGCAAACTATTTTTTACATGATGACTTGTACACCAAACTGAGATTGGTGAACCACATAGGCAGTTCTATAAATATTGACTAATCCTTTTATCTTGAGTGACAGTGGTCCTTGCTTGCACAGCCAATTGGCAAATAACAAGCAATATCAGCCAGTGCTTGTAAGGAGGTTTAATTATTCTTTTCAGAGTAACAGACGTGTTAGTCTGTATTCGCAAAAAGAAAAGGAGTACTTGTGGCACCTTAGAGACTAACCAATTTATTTGAGCATAAGCTTTCGTGAGCTACAGCTCACTTCATCGGTTGCATACTGTGGAAACTGCAGAAGACATTATATACACAGAGACCATGAAACAATACCTCCTCCCACCCCACTCTCCTGCTGGTAATAGCTTATCTAAAGTGATCACTCTCCTTACAATGTGTATGATAATCAAGTTGGGCCATTTCCAGGGAGGGTGAGAAAACCTGGATTTGTGCAGGAAATGGCCCAACTTGAGTATCATACACATTGTAAGGAGAGTGATCACTTTAGATAAGCTATTACCAGCAGGAGAGTGGGGTGGGAGGAGGTATTGTTTCATGGTCTCTGTGTATATAATGTCTTCTGCAGTTTCCACAGTATGCAACCGATGAAGTGAGCTGTAGCTCACGAAAGCTTATGCTCAAATAAATTGGTTAGTCTCTAAGGTGCCACAAGTACTCCTTTTCTTTTTTATTATTCTTGAGAACTAAACAGGGATTTAATCTTTGGCTTTTCGGTGGGGCTTGCATGTATGTTTTATGTTGATCTTAATACAAACTAGAATATATATGGTTTGTTATTATTTTTGAAATCTCATATAATACTGCTTAAACAACAGAGATTCACATTCAGACATTGAAATTCTTATGAAATAATGTTTCCTAAAATTTATCCTAACATGCAGGTTCTTTACATTCCAGGGTTTTTCCTTCTGTAGGCAAAGGAACACTGTAGTGTGGTTTCATTCTTGGTCATACATCACCATTAGTAAATGTTCTATTTAATTTAAAAAGTGGAAATGTATATGATTTACAACCAAATGTTCTTTGTTCATGGAATTATTTTCATTACTTAATTTTTATACTGATGTGAACTTAAGGCCTGATTCTCTGCTGCTTTGTACCTTCTGTAGTCATTGACTCCTACACAAAATAAATACAAAGTGTGTGTGATTGCTACTATTCTGACTTCACACCCACTTACCATGGGTATGAATGACTACACTAACTGCAAAAAGTGGAGAATCGGCCCTTTTTTGTGATACCTTTATGAGTGGCAGGAAGGATAAACTGGAAGGATAGACTCAATGATATATGTGCAGGGCTCAGACAGGTGAAATGGGGATACATAAGTACCTAGACAGACCATATATTGTGCCGTCTACTTTGCCAATTCACGCTATGAAAGGTGTAGTATGAAGTTCTGATCCATACATTGTTAAATGAATTCTGAAGACTCTGAGGGCATACAGCTCTTGGCATACTTAAGCATCCAGCTGATTCTACTGCTTCAATATTACATACATTTTTAGCCCTGACATAAAAACCCAGTGACACCTAAAGGGCTACAAAAGCAGTGCATGACAGTTGTACATTGTACACTTGTGGACACTTCATTCGTTATGTTAAAGGCAGAAAAAGTGGGCTACATCAGGAAGATGATGTATTAAAACATCGGCTGAAGCATAGCAGCTCAATGGAACTTCACTTTTCATATAGTCAAATAACTTCTAGTATAGCAAAAAGCAGGACAGGACTACAGCATATAGATTACTGTAAACTGGGTAAGGCAGATATTGTTCTGGCCCCCAGTCAATGAAGGTTTAGAAAGTGAACTTGACTTTAAGAAAGTCGGTCCCAATTATTCCTATTTCTGTCAGGTGTCACTACACATTAATGTACAAATAGACATCTCATGATGGAATATTTATAAGCTAGCTGGGAAACAGACAGACTACAGCAGTAATAGTCCATTGCCAAAACATAAGAGATAGTACTGGCTACATTTGATGATCTGAAGTTTCGTCTGGAAACTTCACACCATAATTTGAGAATGATAAATGACAAGGGTCATTGCTAAGACAGGGGTCTAGCTTTGATAATGATTGAGTAAAGTGGACAGACAATGAATTAGTATGGCTGCTATTCCAAACTAATCAAAATAGTTTAACTTGTTCCTATAATTTCCCTTGGAGGACGTTTGTGTTTTGCTGTAGTAGGTCAATCTCTTTATAGGTTTACATTCAAAGACAGGTACAGTATGTGATAGCAAATTATCTTCAATGAAGGGAATAGTTTCTTATCATATGCTGTTAACTGCACTACAGAGTTCTTATACAGTTCCTGGAGAGCCAACATAGACCCATCTAAGCCAATTTAATTTCAGTGGGAGATATTTGAGTTCAAACATTATTTTGGTTAATTACTTCATAATGATCATACATTGAAATTATATTTCAACTAAAGAGCTCCAGACATTTCATTTCATTCTCTGGAATAAAAACTGGGGAGGAAAATGGAATCTTTGTGTTACAACGCATGTGAGTTTTCAACCAAAAATCCCACTGGGATCTTCTGCAGGCCTCCATGGGAGTGTAAATGGATTTCCCCTCTCCATTGCATATGTACTGGTCACTTGTGAATGATGTGGTTCCTGGCTGTTCTGCATGAAAAGGGAAACTGGGGGATATAGGCCCCATTTATTAAGTTTCAGATCTATGTCAGATATGTATTGTTAGCATCAGAGTGAATCTGTTGAAGGAAGGGAAAGGTCACTCCCGAAACGTCGTGAAGTGAGCACTGAATATCAGAACTAACGGGTCACCCTGGAGAAAGCTGAATCTATAAAAGGAGGAGTGGAGACGTGATTATGGGAAAGCTTTTTTCTATTTAAGGTACGTATATGGCCTCCATCACTGTAGTTTCTCAGCACTTGACAATCGTTCATGTATTTATCCTCACAATACCCCTGTGAGGCTGGGAAGTGCCAGTATTCCATACCTTACAGATAGGAACAGAGGCACAGAGAGACTAAACGGCTTGCCCTGGGTCACACAGGATGTTTGCTGCAGAGCTGGACTTAAATCAGGTTTCCCGCAGCCCAAGTAGCGCTCTACCCACGGGACCATCCTTCCCCTCAACTGAATGAATGTAAATGAGAAAGAAGAACTTGCAGTCTCTGAGCTATGTATTATTTTATTATTCATACATATTAATGAACAGTTCTTGGCTTTTACCATGTGATAAAAAAAATGTATTTTTCCAGAAGAATTGCCACTTTCACACCCACTCTGCCATGGAAAGCAATTTGTTGGATCACATCTTCTCTCAATTTGATTACACTGCCATTCAAGACAAATGTGTAGCTTGTTCTTTTCTTCATCACTTACTTACCACATGTACAGTGTATGTACAGAGCTTAGCACAAGGCCCTGACCCTGATTGGCACCACTATACACTACTGCAGTACAAAACAATAACAGCATCTATTCTCATTGCTGTCAACCACTGGGGACCAACCATCCCTCGATAAACAGATTACCCCCTGTAATTAGAGTTCATTTTATTAAATATCTAAAACAGTTTGAGAAAAACTGGCCTGCACTTATCCAATCAAATCTTCTTTTTTTAGGTATTCACTGTGAAGAAGACATTAATGAATGTTACATGAACCCTTGCCAAAATGGTGGCACTTGTGAGAATTTTCCTGGAAATTACACTTGTCATTGCCCATTTGGAGAGAAGGAGGGGATTTCTTTTGGTGGCAGGAACTGTACTGAGGTCCTCCTTGGCTGCAATGACCATCAATGCAAAAACAGTGGTTTATGTATCCCACATCTAAAAAATGGCCACCATGGATCCAGCTGCATCTGCCCACCTGGGTATACTGGAACACACTGTGAAACAATAACCACCTTTTCTTTTGAGGGAAATGGTTTCCTGTGGGTGAACAGTGACATGACCGCTGTACAGGGATCTTTCTATAACATAAACCTGAGGTTTCAGACTGTGCAACCTACAGCTTTTATATTTCACCGCGGGAAGAAAGATACGTTTGTCACGTTGGAGTTACTGAACGGCTACTTACGCTTATTCATGCAAGTCAATAACCAGCCACAGGTTCTTTTGCATATTTCACATAATGTCAGTGATGGAGAATGGCATTCTGTGGAGGTAACCTTAGCAAGAGCTGTTACCCTTAATCTACTTGACAGCTCTTGTATAGAATCATGTGTCAATAAATCTACTGCTGCAATAGATAGTGATCAACTGATGCTTGCATTTCAGAACATATTTTTGGGTGGTTTACGAGAGGGAAACATGAGCAGTGACTCTCCACCTAACATCTATAATATGCATTCGGCACCTTCATTTGTAGGCTGTCTTCAGGACATTGAAATAGACTTGAACATTATTACCCCTGAGAACATATCAAGTGAAACATCTTTAAATGTCAAATCAGGCTGTACGAAACAGGACAGGTGTGAAAACCACCCTTGTCAAAATAGGGGACGCTGCATCAACTTGTGGCTGAGTTATCAATGTGACTGCTACAGGCCCTACACAGGGCCAAACTGTTCAACAGGTAAGATAATGTTTTTGGCATTAGTGTATTAAACACCAGCTCAAAGCATAATCACAAATAACAAATCTGTTTATATCAGTGATGAAATGCCATGACCCTTAAGACCTCCGCTGCTTACTTTCAACTGGTGAGAAAACACAAGAGGTTAGTAGAAGCACTTGTTCATTATTTTCTAGTTCTCTCTATAGGAAGCCTAAATTTCAATCAGGCAGAAAAGTCAAGCTAAATTGATGGGTTCTGCTCATCCAGTGCTTTAATTTTTTTTTAGTTTTAATATGCCATTAAACTTTGGGAAACTCAGGTTTACTGTAGGTGTAGCACCCAGTAACCTAAAGGCTATGTCTACACTATAAGCTAATGGTGTGATTCCCCTGCTCATGTACACATACTTGCCCTAGCTCTCATCCAGATAGAGTGAATATAAATAGCAGGGAAGCCACTGTAACACTGGTATCAACAGTGGAAGCACAGCTGAGCCAGACTGACTACAAACCTCTCTGAAACTGGGCTAGCTAGCTTGATGACAGCTAGTGTGAGTACATGTCCATGACAGGGGAATCACATCACGAACTTGTAATATAGACATAGCCTTAGGAGCTTAAGTCCTATTTTTAAAACTCACTTAGGTACTAGTGAGTCTCAGTATCTGTATGTAAAGCAGTACTCCTGTTTTTGAGGGTAAATGAAGAATGAATAAAATATTGAACAAATGAAAAAAATTAGACATTTAAAAAAAATCATATCTGAGCTTTCACCGGCAGATTAAGCCTGACAGTCAATAGCATCATTTTACCAACCAACCTAGGGAGAATGAACAGCCTGAGGATTGGTAATCGGATCTTTGGTTAGCTGGTTGAAGTCCATCCCAGGGTAAGAGTTACCAATAACTGTTACCATCTGAGAGCTGCCTGGTTGCCTCTGTGAAATGAGTCAATTTCCCACTGAACATGCACCCACATCTCAAAAACCATTTAACTGGCATTCTTATGGGCAGAATCAGCAGAAAGGCCAAAACCTGAATAGGCCTGGAAATTGAATTACCCTCACTTTCCTCCACATTAGGGTTGCCAGTCCTCCAGGATTGTCCTGGAGTCTCCAGGAATTAACAATGAATTTTTAATTAAAGATTATGTCATGTGATGAAATCTCCAGGAATTCATCCAATCAAAGTTGGCAACCCTACTCCATGTGATCCTCCACGTACGAGCTGAGGCAAACTGGAGGGACAATATGAGGTCCCTGTATTGCTGTCTGCTATGCTCTACCGGCTATGTGGATAAACAGAGTGCGCCATTCTCCAGGGTTGTAAATATAGCACCTTTCTGGAACACTTTGAACTGGACCCTCCCCTCCTTTCTCAGCAAAAGCCTACTGAGCTCAGACTGGGAGTTTTGTCTGAGGAAGGTGTGCAGGATTTGGCCCTGTATTCACACACAAATGCCCCCCACCCCTTGGTACAAATTACTAAGTTTCTACTAACACATGATAATTTGGGGATGAAGAAAAGACAGTTCATTTTTTAAACCAGGCAGTCTGGAAAAAAATGAAGAGCATCAGCAGTGCCCTAGCTAGATTCAAAGGGCCAGATCCTCAGCTGGTGCAAGTTGGCATAGCTGCATTGAAGGCAATGAAGCTACACTGATTTATACCAGCTGAGGATCTGGTCCCAGGGGGTTATTGGATGTATTTCACCAGAAAGCTGCATCTTGAAGTCCCTTTCAAAATGTTTAAATATTATATCATTTCATGTGCTGTATTTAATAGTTATTGATACCTTATTTCTTTTTTTTTTAATGTAAAATGATAAAGTCTGAGAGGTAATTCTAACAGACTGCTTTGAACTCCAGCTGTAATTTATCCAAAGGTTTGAAAAGCAACTTTGGAGTGTAGGAGAACATCTGGTAAATATGTTTGACTCTTTATATGAAGTGAAATGAAAACCATTCAGGGCCGGGTGAGGCTTATTCTTGCATTAGAACTGTTGAGAATGATTAAAAAGTATTTGGTATTTTTTTCTACTAACCACAATATTCCTTGCAAATCATACCACCATGCCACTTTGATACATGGATGTTAGATATATGCAGGACTTAAAACAGTATGGCATTGGGGAGGAAGGGACTTGTGGCGAGGGATAACATAAGAAATGCTGGTGTCCTTTTGAAGAAAAGTTGCTGCCAAGGATTTAATTGACGTGAGGCAATATTTTCACTACATATACAAAATAACAAACAGATGTTGACTTATTTTGATCAGCATCCAGATGTAGAGACACAAGAGGTTAATATTGACCAAGGGGATGCTAAGTGTCCCATCAAACCCAAGATCAGATTCAGTATTTTTTTTGTGTGTGTGTGGCAAAGTAATAGAAAAATTTCAAGTACAGTATTACCTTTTTCTAAGACTCACCCGTCCTTCGGAGGTTGCAAGGCTCCTATGCTCCAGCTCCTCACTCCATTAGAAATGCTCGCTTTTTTTCACATGGAAAATGCTTAGTTCTCAAGGACTGCCTTCTAGAGAGGGTGCACTCTACAATGCTCTCATGCCTCAAAACACCCATTCCAGCAAAAGGGAAGATTTATTTCTACATGTCATGGTTTTAACAAGCAGATAAAGAAAGAAACGTGGATAATCTCTTTCATAAAATTAAAATATTTCATACGTAGTTATTTATGAAATTGTCTATTCAGGAGCAAGTCGGGGATTTATTCCCCTTACTAAATAATATTACTGTGGCACATGGTAACACCCTGGTTGTTAAAGGATTGTTAGGGTTTCCACAGTCAATCCCCTATTTTCATTGGTTTTATAACCAAGTTATAAAAAAAGTTGTGCTGCAGGCAGAAACTTGACATATGAGTTTTACTGCACAAAAGAGGACTCTGACTCTTTAGTTACAGGAGCGATTTCTTTCTTTAAACCAGGTTGACACTTTTTATGCATTTGACATGCTAAAAAAAAAATAGCTCTTGAAAGTGTTTAGGCAGAAAGCCTACAATATGGAGAACAAGATTTTGAAACTTAAAAAATGTAAAACGAATAGAAATACTGTGGTTCAAAAAGCTGATGCATCAGAATAAATAGTTTCAATTACAGTGGTTTGGGAGACATTTTCTGTTCTTAATTAAAAATCCCTAGCTTCATTATGGAAAATAGAGAGTGACAGAAAGAGAGGAGTTCTGGTTTAATCATCTTAACTGATAAACACAAATTTTTAAAAAAGTGTCTTGGATTCTAGATCATTTGCCTACCCCGGTGGTACAGCAGTGTCATGTGTTGGCAGAGACTGATCATATATAGAAATGACAATTTGGGAGCCAGAGTCACTGATGGATCTAGGCTGATGCAGATCAGCATAGGTGTAATCTGCCAAGGGAATAAAGGGCTATCACAGCTCCAGAGTGGGTGGTGATGTGTAGAAACCAAAGAGAAAATAAGAGCATGTGCTAAATCAGCATATGCTCTTATCAGCCTCTTTGTTTGGAGACCTAGTCCTGATTTAACATTGTCCACTTTCCTTGATGGGAATGTTTAGGGAGTATATGTAGGGGAAACATTTCCTGCCCTCCCTGAGGATAAATCCCTAATGGTGCATAGGGGTCCACTTGGAATGGGTTACACTTCCCTACGCCAGCAGTAGTGCATATGGTCTTGGGGTGAAATCCTACCCCCGCTGAAGTCAATCACAAAACTTCTATTAACTTCAGTGGTGCCAGGATTGTACCCTTGGTTTTTAGGGGATGATAACAGTTAGGTTGGGCTCAAAATACACCCTTCTTATGACCAGTACAAATAACTGTGCTGGAGTCTGCCCTGAGAAACCATCTGGATACACATCCTCACAAGATGTACAGAAGCTGCAAAAGGGGAAGAATGTGGTGTAATAATGTACCTTATAGCACCAAAATAAAGCCTAACCCTGCTCCCATTGAAGCCAATGTGAATTTTCCCATGGAAGCCACTCAGACCAGAATCAAATCCTTATTTTGTCCTTAAATGCTAGCAGGTGCCTCTCTTTATTAGTGGTAGATGTTTGATCATTGTGCTGCCTGCATTAGTCAATTAGTCTTAAATTATTTTATTTTCTCTCTCTTTCCTCCCTCATTTCAAGAGTACATGCCAGGCCGATTTGGACGTGAGGACTCCTCGGGGTATGCTGCTTTTTCTGTTGATGCTGGTCAGAACGAAAACATGACTATATCAATGTTTGTCCGAACACGGAAGTCTTCTGGCTTGTTACTAGCTGTGAGGAACAGTACATCTCTGTATATAAGGATCTGGTTGGAAGATGGGAAACTAGTCATGTTAGCCTCAAATTCCACCAAATTGTTCGGCACATGGACTGTGAGTGATGGAAATTTTTACTTAATATCATTAAAAATACAGCCAAATAGGGCTGAATTGTTCCAGTCATCTCAACAGCTAGGCTACATTTCTACTCCAATACTAACAGTCCAAAGTAGGGATATTCTCTATATTGGAGGACTACCAGACAAACAAGAAACTGATATAAATGGTGGGTATTTTAAAGGCTGTATCCAAGATTTAAGACTGAATAACCAACAACTGGAATTTTTCCCCATTACCACATCACTGTATTCTGTCATCAACCGAACACTGATCAACGTGACCCAGGGCTGTACTGGTGACAATCTTTGCAAGGTGAGGATGCCATTTCTCAAAGCATGTTTCCATGTTTAGAGCAAGGACTCCTCTTTTGGCCCATGAATGTTCCCATGCAATATGTGACAGTAATGACATCTTAAACAAATAAACATGCTGGTAAGAGCAGATTTTGCTGAATAGTGCTGAACATCGTGGGCATCAGCAGCAAAATATATGGGGTTATGAAAGGTGAGGTAAGGATAACCATTTACTAAACCTGCTATCCATGCATGGAACCTGTAAGGCTTTATAGCTTTCAATCCAAAGTAAACACAATTCCGTTTTATCCCAAGCAATCCTGCCTTCCCTTGTGTGGGACTCCACTGCTACTTGCTAACACTTTGTCTCTACTCTTTCCATTTAGTCCAACCCTTGCCACAATGGCGGCATTTGCTATTCTATCTGGGACGACTTCACTTGCACATGCCCCCCAAACACAGCAGGGAAAGCATGCGAGGAAGTTAAGTGGTGTGAGCTCAGCCCTTGTCCTCATGAAGCACAGTGCCAGCTGGTACACCAAGGATTTGAATGTAGGTACATTTCTATCATCCCTATAACCTCTGGGAAACTGAAACAACTTCAGATAACGTTGATTTTCATGACCTGTTCAATTAAATCAAGCATTCCAATTCTCATGCAACCCAGCAGAATTTTGTTTGTTGTTAATGATGATAATATAAAATAATAAATAATAGAATCTTGATCACTGCTATTAAAAGTATTATGAATGGAATAATGGGATACTAAAATTCAAGTTTCAGCCATCATCTGTGGCTGATCACAAATTAAGATCCATTTAATCTTGGGCCTCTTTTTTAAAATTACCCTTCCATTTTGAAAGCAGTGGAGTGAGGATTCAGATAATATTGCCTGCAGGGGCTTTACTCTTCAGTTAATCAATGCATCTACTTGGCATGTTTATAAAATAGACCACTTTGTTCCATCAGAGCACCACTGCAAGGAGATAAGACGATTAATCTTAAGATGTTCTCCCTCCTCCGGAAAGACATGCCAGATGACATACTCCTGCACACTGCTTTATTCCATTTTCTTAAAGTGAAGGATCTTTAAAAGCTATCTTAAGCATCCTAACACTAGCAATGCATTTGAAGGATAGTCATTTCAACTGGTATCTTAATAAAGAGCATGAGAATTCCAAGAAGCTTGTTCATTTGAAAATTAATGACCACTACTTATCATAAGAACATTTGCCAATGTGTTGGATATCGCTTTTCTATTTCCCCTCCCTTGAAATAGCATGGAATTTAAAAAGCACGCTGAGATTTTGTTATGGTGTTTTCCAAAAATCATCCTTTTTTCTCCAAAAATACCCCCATGATGCTGTGAAGCAAGATTACTGTACACAAAGTGCAATGGAAGCAGTTAGAATAGCTGACTCCTAGGAACTGAAGAGTTGGTCAGCAAAAGATTTCTAGCATAGACGAAACGGAGCACCCTGCAAATAGATCCATATGATGCAGGTTATTGTTGAGACAGGAAAAAGAGGTCAGTCAGAGTGAGTATTAAAACACATTTATATTTTAAAATACATAGTTATATTTATATCCTAAATAACATATTACACATTCTCTTTGATTATAAAAATCTAATAGGTGATATCTTATCAACAATTTTAGCTGATTATAGTGGAGTATAAACATATGGATGGGAAGTAATTGCACTGTTTCCTTTTGCTAAAAAACAAGGCAATCTACATCTTTAGCAGTCTTTAACTTTAGATCTCAGTGTTCTTTTATGTGGCAATGGTAAGGGGTTGCCATAATGGACATTCATAAACTCCTGGGAGACAGATATGTATCTTTAATTATCTCTTTGTTTCCATGCATTAGTTTCCAAACTTCTATGTAGACAGACATAATAATATTCCCCTAAACTCACAGACAATAGAACTGAATCGGTTTGTTGTTATTATTGTTTATTATTAGTACTGAGGTGTGTAACAAGGGCCTCCACTCGCCGCTAGGGTAATGCCTCCTTCTGGCCACTCTGGGGATTAGTTCACAAGGTCAACGCCTCTCCTAGTGGTTACACACCATTGTTCCATCTCTCTCTCTGGTCTGCAGCCCCTCTCTTCCTCCAGGAAATGCAGCATCTTCTTTGTGACTTGGCCCTTTGGCTAGGTCACTCAGCGTTCCACCCTTCCGAGGTATAGTCCGTCAAGTCTCTACAACATGCAGCCAAGGTCTGTTCAGTCCCCAACTTTGCTGCTTTCTCCCTGGGCTGCTTCCTACTGTGGCACTACCCACTTCTTTGGTGTTTGCCGGCCTCTCTTCTCCCTCATCTTAGTGAGCAACTGTGAGCTACTTGTATCTATAGCCCCCAAACACACCTCCCTTCTGCCAGGGAGTGACTGCAGACTACCTCCCCACAGCTGCCTTCCTGCTATCAGCTCCCTGGCTTTATAGAAGACCTGCCTGTTCCTGCACAGGTGAGCATCCCCTAATTAGGGCTTTCCTCTCGGCCTTCAGCCTAATAAGTTAACTGGCCCATCTGGCGTGCATTAACCCCTTCAGGGCAAGTGTGGGGTGGACACCTAGAAGCCCCAATCAGCAACTGGGGTCCAGCTGTGATAGGTGCTATACACACATATAATAATTTCAGATCCTGCACTAAAAAGCTTGCATTGTAGGTCTATGATGAAACACAACAGGTAGGTAGATGTGGGAGGCAATAAGTAGATGTGGGAGGCACAAGGTAAGAGACAGATAATTATGATCACTGTCACAAACAGGAGTAACAGCACACTCGCCAGCTAGTCATTGCCAAGTGCTTAATAATGTCCACACAAGAGTGTTTTTAAGTTTTTGATTGAAAAAATCTTAGTTGGTTGTCTCTCTGAGAACTGAAGTAAACTTTGAAAATACATACATTACAAACACTGATGTTTCCAAATGCCATAAGTTATGCTAGGAAAACTGTTTCTGTTCACGTTCCCATTTTATGAGGCACAAGAGTTGGTATGCCAAGAGACATAATGGTACATCCATTGCCTTAGCATTTAGAGTACACATGCATAATGTGATCATTCACAGTGCTTAGTGTCTATATCTCCATTCCCAAACTATTTCAAATAAACTTACTTTCTAGTATTTACAGTAAAGTGAAGGGCAGATTCTTTTCTTGTGAGGTTTCCCATTAATAATCCCTTATTGGTAATCCCAAGGGTTATTTCAGCCAAAATTTGCCACAATTGGGAAAGAATGCCCACAGATATCCTAGCAATCTGCTTTATCTGACCACCACAGCTCTCACAAACCCTAACACCCATACAGATTTGAACTGAAGCATGAATAGGAGACATTTCCTTCTCTCTTCCCTCCCCCTATATCAGAAGTGGGCAAACTACGGCCCGCGGGCCACATCCAGCCTGCAGGACCATCCCGCCGGCCCCGAGCCCCTGGCCAGGGAGGCTAGTCCCCATCCCCTCCCCCGCTGTCCCCTCTCTCCTGGAGTGATGCTGCCATGTGGGCAGCGTGGCTTGTGCCCACCCACCTCCCAGGCTTTCCAATAAGCCTGTCCTGCTGCTCTGAGCCGCATGGTAAGGGGGCAGGATGTCCCGGGGGCAGTTAGAGGACAGGGGGCGGTCGGATGGGGCGGAGGTTCAGGGAGGGTGGTGGTCAGGAGACAGGGAGGGGGGTTGGATGGAGGGGTTCTGGGGGGAAGTTAGGGACGGAGGTCCCGGGAGGGCACGGTCAGGGGACAAGAAGTGGGTTGGGGGTCCTGGAGGGCCTGTCAGGGGGCAGGGGTGTGGATAGGGGGACCAGGGGGATGGTTAGGAGTGAGGGGCCCCGGGAGGGGGTAGTCAGGGGACAAAGAGCAGAGAGGGGCTGGATGGGTCGGAGGTTCTGAGGGGGGCAGTCAGGGGGCGGGAAGTGAGAGAGGGCCAGGCAGTTTGCGGTGGCACAGCCTTCCCTACCCAGTCCTCCATACCATTTCGTAACTCTGATGTGGCCCTTGGGCCAAAAAGTTTGCCCACCCCTGCCCTATATAATAGCACACACCCTGAAAAAGCCTGGAATGCACATTTAAAATCTGACTGTTTTTGTCTATTAAAATGGACAAAATGCCAATGAAAAAATGTCAAATATATGTGTAAAGATCAGATTATCAGGCCCTAAAAATGGACACAATTCTGTTCACTAAACTACACTCACAGCCCTATGCGATTAGGGCTATATTCCCCTCCAAGTTCCATCAGTGCAGCATCACTGAAGTCAGTGGAAATATGCCAGTGTGAAATTGAGGGAACATCAACATCATGGGCCTGAATTTCCTTACATTAGTTTTACACTCGTTGTAACTCCACTGACTTTAGTGGAATATTCCTGATTTGTGACAGTGACTCACAATCAAAAGTTGTTGCTTTATATAATCATAATCATCCTAAATTGATAAACCCCCCTAAAGATACTTTTTCACAAAGGAGAGAAATGGAAGTAGGAGGGTTTCTATTTTTTCTGCAGTTCTGGAACTACTGGGTGTTTACAAAGATTGTAAATTCAGGCAAGTACTGTATCAACAACACATGAACTAATTATTAGACATTCTTTGTAATTCCTACCATTGGCTAATACACCTATTTACCATCTTGGAAAAAACAACACATAAATTAACACCAGCCACTACAGTTCTATTCAGCCTGAATTTCACAAACCTTTACAAAGTTATTTCCCCAGCTCAACAGCTGTTGTAAATCATCCCAGCTCCATTGATTTCAGGAGAATTATGCTGATTTTCACCAGCTGAGGATTGGACCTTTATTATTGTTTATTCGTTAAGTGTGGCACGAGACAAAGAAATAGGGCTTGATTCTGATCTCACATGCATTCATTTTATACTAGTGTTTCTCTACCGCCTTCCATGGAGTTACTCCTGATTTGCACAGCCTTACATGAGATCAGAATCAGGGTCACAGTTGCAGCCTAAGAGAGAGTGAGAGTTTAGACAAAAACACTTAGCATGCCGCAGAGGTTACAACATTTAGGGCTAGATCCTCAGCTGATGAAAATCAGCATAGCTCACTGACTTCAGTGGAGACAGGGATTGGCATCTTACTCTTATTTTTTAAAATGAGAAGCCAAGAGGCATAATATTGACACTGATTAGAATTTGCATGCTTCATGGAACGAAGTGGAAAGATTGAAATTACAAGAGGCAGGCAGCCTGGCACAGTGGAGTAGGGAAAATGTTGCACAGGTATCAATCGTAAATTGGCCTGCTTTCTCAACGGATATTATTATCTTTGCACAGGTGTTGCCAATGCAGTGTTTAGCGGCAGAAGCAGTGCAATATTTTACAGAACCAATGGGAAGATACGGAGAGACCTCACCAACATTGTCTTTGGCTTTCGGACTAGGGATGCTGATGTGATACTGCTGTATGCTGAGAAGGAGCCAGAGTTCATTACCATTCGCATTCAGAACACCAGGCTAGTGTTTCAGCTGCAAAGCGGCAACGGCTTTTACGTGCTGACCCTAGCTAGTTCACAGCCCGTGAATGATGGGAAATGGCACCAAGTGATTCTCTCGATGACAGAACCCCTATCCCAGTCGTCTAGATGGCACATTGATATAGATGATAAAAAAGACACTGCAACGAGTACAGTCGCCACAGGAAGCCTCAACTTCCTAAGAGAAGAAATAGATATTTATGTTGCCGACAAAGCTTTTGACAATCTGGATGGCCTAAGGGGATGCATGAGCACTATAGAAATCAGCGGCATTTATCTCTCGTACATTGAAAATTATGGCGGTCACACAAAAAAACCTCAAGAAGAGCAATTCCTCAAAATATCTGCAAATTCTGTTGTTACTGGCTGTTTGCAATTGGATGCCTGCAGCTCTGATCCCTGTATGCACGATGGGATATGTGAAGACTTATATAGTTACTATCGTTGTACGTGTCCCAAGGGATGGACTGGCATGCACTGTGAAACCAGCATTGATGAATGCTTTTCAAACCCCTGCATTCATGGAAACTGCTTGGATAGAATCGCATCCTATGAATGCAGATGTGACCCTGGTTATACTGGGGTAAACTGTGAAGAGGACATAGACAACTGCCGTGGTCACCTGTGTGCAAATGGGGCAACTTGCATAGATGGAGTTAACACTTATTCCTGCCTGTGTGCTGGTAACTTCACTGGAAAATTTTGCAGGTATTATAAATAAGAAAGCTTCAGAAGCTAAAAGAAAAGGAGTACTTGTGGCACCTTAGAAAGCTTATGCTCAGATAAATTTGGTAGTCTCTAAGGTGCCACAAGTCCTCCTTTTCTTTTTGCGAATACAGACTAACACGGCTGCTACTCTGAAACCTGTCAGAAGCTAAAGAAACTCCTGCCATCAGAGCTCACCTCTCAGATGTTTTCCAAATTGTTTAAATTAAACTGAGAAAAGATCAACCCCTACATCAATCCTACATTAATAGTGAGGCCACGCTTACACAATGGGTCCTACAGCAGTATAGCCATGGCACAAAGCTGTGCCACTGTAGTACCACAGCATAGATGCAAAGAAAGGGTTTTTTCTGTCACTGTAGGTACTCCACCTCCCCTAGTGGTGGTAACTAGGTCAACCGAAGCATTGTGCTGTTGGCCTGCTGTTGGCCAAATCTACACCAGCGATTACGAAGGCATAGCTACAACACTCAGGGATGGGAATTGTTCATACCTCTGAGCTCCATAGTTATGTCAACCTAAATTTAAGTAGAACAGGACTTAGGTTTTCCCTGCAGAATTATTACCCCACAGACATTCACATTTCAAAGGAATCTAGGGAAATTGTGCAGATCTTGTATTCTGTTGGATCACCAATATAATGTGTACATAGTGTTTTATTCAGGTAAATCCAAATAACATGTACTTTGCATTTGTCTCTGGGTAAAATTTTCAAAAGCATCCAAGTTACATAGGAACTTTGGCTCCTAATTCACATAATTTTGTTTGTCTGTTGGTTGAAAAGGCTCTTTTAGTGTCTCTGGAAGCCATTTACGGGGCCAAAATAATAGGAAATTGCTTTCCTCACAGAACTTCCACCATCCAGAATTGAAATGTAATGAGGAGACCAGAGACGGCTTTATTTCAGCCCCATACATGGCTCCTTGAGATGACAGAAACTGACTGCACTGGGAGTTTTGCCTGAGTAAGGACTTGCAGGATTAGTCCAATAAACTTGAAGACAAATAAAATACTGGGTCCCTTTTGTTCTTAATTGGTACAGAGACTGGACCATAAGGAATTATAGTCCATTGTCTTCAATGGAGTTACACTGATTTACACCAGCTGAAGATCTGACCCTCTAATTTCATTTAAAACTCAGACAAACTTGAAAACAATATATTTTGAGCCATTACCAAATTTTGTTTTTGCATTTGACGTACTATGTCCTATACACAGATTCTTTCAGATAAAGTGCTAAATTATATTGCTACCAAATAGCTCCAAGACACTCACCTAAACAAAGGATTTGGCCCATTTTTTGCCTCAGAGTGAATTATTAAATTTGTATTACTGGAGCTTGGGAAAGCCAGTTGAACTGATGTGAAATTAAGTTTTTGAGATTCACTGTTGCTTGGTATCACACTTTCCTTCCTTTGTAGACACCCCCTTTAGTAACTGAATTTCACTCAGCAGCAAAGATAATAAGTATGCCAGATAGCAACTGAATAGAAGCATACAGGTCTGGAGCGTTGTTCCCTGCAAGAAAACTGTGCAGACCGTAGAAGATGTCTGTCTACATGCAGTGCATCCTTCTAGAGATTCACAGCTGTGTGCTGATTTACAGCCAGATTGTGCCACCCTTACTCACATTGAATAGTACCTTACCCAAGGAGCCACTGAAGCTGATAGGCACCTTTGTGAAGTAAAGTACAGCTTACTGTGAGCCCAATGACAGATTTCAGAGTAGCAGCCGTGTTAGTCTGTATCCGCAGAAAGAACAGGAATACTTGTGGCACCTTAGAGACTAACCAATTTATTTGACATGTTCCATTCTATGCATGCGATGAAGTGGGCTGTAGCCCACAAAAGCTTATGCTCAAATAAATTTGTTAGTCTCTAAGGTGCCACAAGTACTCCTGTTGTTTTTGTGAGCCCAATGCTATTAGAATTTGACCCTTATTAAAGCAATTCATCTGTAAAACAGAAAACCTAAACGCATTCAGCTGAAACAGACTAGCATTTTAATATGGTGTTAAATAAATGAATGAGGGAAAATTAGATTTTACCTGAAATAAATAAAGAGTTATTAATTGCTGCTGTTGTCTCTTATTCATCTAGGCACATCAGGCTTCCTTTTTCCGTCTGTGGGAATGAGAAGAGAAATCTCACTTGTTACAATTATGGCAACTGTACTGAGCTCAAAGGCGAGTTGAGATGTATGTGCCTGCCAGGCTTTAGTGGAGAACGGTGAGACACTTCAGAACTTTATGTGCACTTTCCCTCAGCAGGTTATTGTAGGAATATTGGATTGTCTTTTTCCAACATGAGTTCCAGAATGGCTCCTTTTTGGATATCCAAAATTAGTGATTGAAATGGTACCTCACCTGCTGCAGACTTCCTGCAGCAATGAGACACAGTTCAGTCTATTCAAAATGAGCTAGAGTTAGAACTGGGCAAAATGTTTTTGATTCATGTTATTTGCAAAAAAACAACAACAAAAAACAGTTTCAGGTCAACTGAAATTATTTTTGAATTCAGGTCAAATTTGCCAAATAGTTTGGCTGGAAATTTAAAATAAAAAGTTTGGAAAAGTCTAAACATGTTGTTTTGATATTGTTAAAATGAAACATTCCAATTTTTCATTTTGAAACAACAAACGTTTCATTTTGAAATTTGCCTATATTTTATTTTTTTTAAGTGTTAAAAAACTCAAAAAAGAAACAAAATGTTTTGTGTTGAACAAAACAATGTGGTTGAACCAAAACAATTTTTTCCCAATATTTTGGTTCAGCCAGCGAACCAAAAATCAGTTATTTGCCAAGCTTAATCCTCTCTTTGCTAAATATGACTTCCAGGGTTTCACAGCATGAGAATCTGATTTCTACAAAAGTCAATAGTCAATGGGTCAAATTCATCCCTAGTGTAACTCCAATTACTTCAATTACAGATGAATTTGACCCAAGATGCTTTTTTTCTTAAATAACATTCTACTGATCCCATCTCCCTCTGCGTACAAATATTCCTGGCTTTATGTCGGTTTCAAACACAACAAAATAGAACAGTATAATTATTTTATCTCTCTGTGTATAGACACTTAAACACACAAATCCTCATATAATACACAAATAGACAGACATAAAACTAATGGTTTTATTTTAACTGACATCCAATGGAAATAAAAGAAGTGTACTCTCACAGGGGAAGTGTTATGCACAGAACACCCACTCATATTGTATCTTGCCAGTTTAGAATCAAATTCTAAAACAATTATAAAAACAAAATTGGTTAACTTCTTTTATATATATATATATAGGGCAGCTCTTAGCACGAGGATCCACCAACTTCACTCGTGACTAAATTTGTAGTGGATGGTGTACACCTCCGCAACCCATATTTATTGTCTATTATATTATTCCCAATTCTCTATATTTTCCTGTATCCTCAGTCAAGACTGGGGGCCCATTGTTCTAGGTGCTGTACAAACAGAGGAAGACATGGCCCTGACACCTATAGGTTATCCCGAGGTTTGTTCAGAAGCATTCAGCTGATAGCAAGAGAGGAAATACAGTACAAAGAAGGTAGAAAATATAAAACAAATGGTTTTGCTCGCTCTCTCTCAGCACAATGAAAATTAAATCAGTGGTATAGAAAGTCCAAAGGCCCAGTGGGCCTGCAATATGTAGCCTTAGCACATTCAGAAAATCTTTCAAGAAAAGGTTTCTCCCTCTCTCTCTCTTTAACACCCACTGACTTTGTGGAATCACTGCAGTAAGTCATAAATGATGGATGAAATAAAAAATTGTGGCCCACCCAGTACAGAGTGCACTTGGCAATTGCTGCTGTGCTGTAATATTTAATTCAGGCATCCAGAAAGGCCCCTTGCCAACCCCAGAAGATTTGGAGAAGAAAAACGGTCTCAACCACTTTTTTGGTGTGTATTTATCTTGGAGCTTCAGGGTAGGTGGAAAGTGCTTTTTCCTTCTTCCTTTCACTCTTAGGCATCTTGCTAACTAAAGCTTTAGAAATAAGAGTCCTTCTTTATATCCACACCCACTGGCTGGCAATAACCTCTATTTTATGGTTCCCAAGGTCCTACTACTGAGTGGTGATCCAATAGTGAGCATACTGCATGGTAACATACCACTGCAATGAGACATTCTACACCTTATTCTCTTTTTTAAATCCTAAATAGCCACTGTATTTATTCTCCTTTTTTCCGGGTTGCCAAAATGTTGTAAGGTAAACTAGCAGTGTCTTTCTCTTTGAAGACCTTTAGTAAACTAAATCAGACAGAACACACACAAGATTTATTTTACCAGAACAAATGCAAACTATTTCACATAATGGGATATTAAAAAATACACCATCTCCATGATTGATTGGACTGATATTACAGATATTTTCCTTTAAAAGTATAACTAATCTCTAAGAAAGGGTTTGATCTACAACCTATGGAAATCAGTGGGTGTCTTTCCACAGAATGCAATGGACTTTGTGTGAGGACCAAAAGAAAGAATTTGATCGTTGTTAGAGATGGACAAGTTATTCCTCAGTAGAGTTGGTCAGACTGTTTATTGCAAAGAAATTATTCACTGAATTTAGGCTGGGATTTTCAACTTGACTAAGGGACTTATGTTTCCGGCTTCCACTGCTATGGCTCTTTTTCCTGTATGTGAACCAATCTTGATTTATTTTTGTATGTATGAATTCATTTGTATTCGTAAGTATTTGCCAACTAGTTTGATGAACAATTTTTGTTTCAGATTTTTGAGGACTGTAATTGATCCACTAAGTAAGATAGTATTTTTTCTGTTCCTGATTGGTGAATGTAGAAAATTCAAATGTGACTGTTTGATATGAAAACCAGCCCTTCCCCAAATGCTTATGCAAACAAACTTGTTGGCATGAATGTTTGCAGTTGGACATGACTTTGGTTAAACTGAACAGCTTTTAGTAATTTGGACAAAAATCCACACATTTACATTTTCAGGAACAGACCAGGTCTTCTAATCAGATGTTATTAAGGCTGGTTAATTGTCCTCACTAAAAATGGGGAAAATGTAGTCACAGCAAAAAATACTGAAGTCATAATTTTAGTTTTAAAAGTTAGTCCTGGCACACTCTTTTAATTAACAATAAATTGTTTTTTGTGATGGTGTTGTAGCCATGTTGGTCCCAGGATATAAGAGAGACAAGACGGGTGAGGTAATATCGTTTATTGGACCAACTTCTGCTGGTGATGGAGACAAGCTTTTGAGCTACACAGAGCTCTTCTCCAGGTCTGGGAAACATCACATCCACCATAATCTCTCTGCCATCAACAGGACAGTCCCTGAAATCCAACCACCAAATAGTGATCAAATCCACAGACAAAAGGGGCATTGTCATAGACCTCAACTATGATGACTACACTGACAAGGCCAACTGACAACTGTTCAACACCACCTATTATAAAGAACTCAGAGATGACCCCATACCACAGTTTACCCAGAAATATAAGGATATCATCAAATCCTTCCCCAAACAACGCCAAGAGAAACTCTACAACCTCATCCCCATGAACCAACCACAGGGACTGTCTACATCCTTTCTCAGATATACAAACAAAGGAACCCACAGCACTCATCATATCTGGCCACAACACTCTTACTGAAAAAATATCGCAACTCATGGAAGCCATCCTCAAACCATTCACCACCCAAAAGGCCAACTTCCTCTCGGATACAGCCAACTTCCTCCAGAAACTCTGCAACATTAACAACCTTCCACAGAACACCATTCTTATCACCATGGATGTCACTTCTCTCTACACAAACATTCCTCACAATGATGGCCTCAAATATTTACAAGATAATGAACAACCCTCAGATATCCACCCCAAACATATCGCCAAACTCATCCATTTCATCCTCACTCGTAACAGTTTTACATTTAACAACAACCACTTTGTCCAAACCCTGGGAACATCCCAATATACCAACTTCTTCATGGGCCACTTTGAAGAAGAATTTCTGGACAATGCACCATGAAATCTATGATATCCCTTGATGATCTTTTTATTTTTTGGACAGATGACCTAAACTCCCACATAGACTTCCACCACAGCTTCAACCACCAACCATCCATTAAACTCTCTCTAGAACACTCCCACACTAGCATCAACTTCCTGGATGCCATGATCAGCTTCAGCAATGGAACCCTACAGACAATTATATACAAGAAACCCATAGACCACCACACCTATCTTCACAGGTCCAGTAACCATCCCAAACACACCAAGAAATGTGTTATCTAAGCCATAGACTGGTGCCTCCCCATACTGGGAAAGGGGCACAATCTAGAGGGGAGGACACATGACCTCCCCATGTGTCTCCTCCACACCCCACCCTTGCCAGGGGCCTGCACACTCTCCCTGCCACCTTCCCACCCCAAGTTATCTGTGGGGGGAAGGGGCTCTGTCCTTCCACTGCACCAGCTCCTCCCCTGGCACGTTCAGCTGCCCTCCCTGCTGCTCTGTCCAGTGAAGCAGCTGCCTGAGAGAGATCCAGGTTGGGACAGGTGCCATGCATGCTGGCTGGTGGGAGAAATGGGGCTCTGGCTCACTCATCCCCTGTCCCCAGAAGCCAAGCCTGGGTGCGAGGCAACCCACCGCTGCTGCAGGCAGCTACTGCGCTGCACCAGGCAGCGTCCCAGCAGCCAGAAGAGGCTACAATTAAATAGTCCTTTAGCCCAAGCCCCACAACTCCAAGTCCGCTGGCCTGGGCCAGGGTCAGGTTTTTAATTGCAGTATAGACATTCGCTCTGAGTACATTTCCCAGACTTGAAGAAGAGCTCCATGTAGCTTGAAAGCTTGTCTCTCTCACCAACCGAAGTTGGTCCAATACAAGATATTACCTCATCCACCTCATCTCATTAATAAATTATTTGTCATGAGAAGTGGGATAGCCCCTATTTTATAATAAATATTATTTGAAACCATTAAATAATGTTTAACTAAACCTTTAAAATCTGGTACAATGCTACACTTGACATACTCTATTTCCTGGTATTATGGTCCTCAACTAGGCCAGCAGAAGAATGCTATTAGGAGTCTAATGGAATTTCTAGTAGGCAATAGGTATTTGGATGCTCACATAGGACTTAGACATATGAATAGATGATCACAATGGTCCCTGCTAACTGCGGGATCTATGAATCGATGAAAATGTGCATTTTTGTGACTTAGGGCCCAATTCTTCAAGATGCAAAGTGCCTTAAACTCTCATGGACATCAGTAAGAGTGGAGGGAGCACAGTTCTCTACAGAAGGTAGCCAAGACCAGCCTCTAAGCATATGTCTACGCAGGGATAAAAGACCCGTGGCACATCTGCGGCTGGCCTGGGTCAGCTGACTTGGACACATAGGGCCCGGGCTGCAGAGTTAAAAATTGCTGTGTAGACCCTCAGGCTTGCCTAGAAACCAAGCTCTGGGACCCTCTACCCTCACAGGGTTTTTCATCCCTGTGTAAACAGCCTAAGTCACAAAAGCCCATTTTACATGCCTAAGTGCCAATGTGAGCATCAAAATGCAACAGATATGGGATTTCCCATTTTTGTACCTATATGTGAAAACAACACAAGGCATCAAAGATGTAAGTGTAGCTGATAATGTCTGTTATTTTCAAGACAGTGAGAAACCCTTGTCCGTTTAATGTTATCTAGTTGCTACCACAGTTGCTTAGCGCTTTTGGTCTTTTACTGTAGGTGTGAAACAGACATTGATGAGTGCAACTCTGATCCATGCATGAATGGAGGCCTCTGCCAGAACCTACTTAACAAATACCAGTGCATCTGTGATGTAAACTATGCTGGCGACAACTGTGAGGTAGATGTAAGCGACCTCTCCTTTTTTGTCTCTTTATTATTGTGGCAGAATCTCTTTCAGCTTCTCTCCTACCTTATTCTGCGAATGGATGATGATCCAGCAGTTGAGTGGGGTGAACAGGAAGATTATTAGCAGTCTGTACACTCTTCGTATTTTAAAGCCATTGAAACACAATGGAAGATGCCTTGTATGAACAGGAAACTAGTTTAGCACTCAGAAAAGCAATAAGAACCACATTTTTAAAATCATTTACCAATGTTTTGAACATATTAAAATATTTTATTGTAAATAATTAATTCTCCAACTATGGCTTTAAATGCAGAAGCTAAGTTTCTAAGTAGCATCATATTTCTTTGTATTATTTTGTGTAAAAAATGAGAGATAGAACTTTCAAAAGTAAACATTCAGATCTTGGTTCTCACCTATTTAGGAATCATTTTCACTCTACTTTGGTTCCTTTGCTTAATTTTGGAACAGATGCTAGTAGATAGTGAATATCACTCTGAAAATACTGCTTTAACCCATTTCTACTGGGGTATTGCATGGTCTCTAGGTTTCTTACAGTGTAATACATAAGACTACTCCATGACGAGATATTCTAAGAGCTCAGGGTGAAATCCAAGCTCCACTGAAGTCAGTAGCAAAGATCCCATCAACTTCAATGAGACCAGGATTTCACCCTTAAAATGTAAATATATCACATCCCACATTATTCACAGCTGTTGATTTAGAAGTTTGGTTCAATGTCTGTGGAATCAGATATGTCATAACACTGAACAATGTGAAACTATTTTGGATAAACCACTGGCAATATACCAAGCCGTGTCCCAAGCCCTGTCCTGTTGGAATCAATGGAAGAATTGTCTTTGATTTCACTGGGAGTAGGATTAGGACTACTATCTGTACATTTCATTTGAATAAAAAGTTCACTTGATTAAAACAAAATGCAACTATTCTATGAATTCACATGGAATGGTTTTCAAACATGCACTATGGTATGAATTTATTCATTTTAACCAAAGCTCCAATGAGGATATCATATTTCAAATCCACAGGCAGAATTTGTTAGTTGCAATATTGCTACCACTTTAAGTAGATCTATTTTATCTGTGAACTGAGAATGTCAGTACTGTAATACATAATTCCAGGCAGAGGAATATGCTTATTTTTCACCTCAGGAATCAATCACCTTGCTCACTGATGGGTTGTGCATGGTTATCCTTAATGAATGAGGATTAAGTACATGATATTGCTCACCATTGTAGATCAGGCCTGATTCAGCAGAGTACTTAGACACGTACTTGGCTTTGAGCACACGAATAAGTTGAAGTCAATGGGATTTAATCACTTGCTTAAATTTAGTCACCTCCTTTAGTGCCTGGCTGAATCTGGGACAATATTGTTCATCTCGTACTTTGTTCTTTCTGGGCAGAGTTTTACAGGACAAGTACATTAATGAATTGTGCAGTTGTTCATTTGAGTATTATTACTCATGTTATATTAGTACAGTGTTCAGACCTACAAACACACATTTTACTAGTCCTCTTGACTTCAGTATTCACAAGAATAAGTGTTTACAGGTCTGTGTTTCATTATTATTAAGTGATGTGGCAGAGTTATGGGATGAAGGCAGTTATGGGAAAGAGATCTTTATTAAGTATGCTGAGGCTCTACAGTTTGAGAGAGACAGCAGCTTGGCTTCTGCTTCAATCCCTAAGCCCCTTGGGGGTACATCTACATAGGGATAAAAGACCCTTGGCACTGCTGCAGCTGGCCCTTGTGAGCTGAATTGGGCTCACAAGGCTTGGGCTCAGGGGCTAAAAATTGCTGTGTAGATGTTCGGGCTTGGGCTAATGCCTGAGCTGTGGGACTCTTCACCCTCACAGAGTCCCAGAGCTCAGGCTCTAGCCTGAGCCCAAGAGTCTACACAGCGATTTGTCAGCCCCAGAGCCTGAGGCCTGAGAGCCCAAGTCAGCTGATCTTGGCCAGCCAGGGTTTTTTATCCCTGTGTAGGCATGGCCTAAGTGTCACATGCATCACATCCCAAAACTGACACCTGACTCTCTTTCTCAGATTCTGTTCATTATTGTATGTGTGTGCAAAATGCTGTTATTTGTCTCTGTTACATGTAGCATGTTAATGTCTCAAGGAGCTGCCCTGGTCTGAAAACTTAGGTGTAATACATTGCTGTATAATAACTGTATTACACCAAAATAATCTCTTTATCATCTTTCTTTTACTAGAGAAATGCCTGAGGTAATTTTGCTGTTGATCTCCTGTAAAAATGTTTTATTCCTCTCTTGTGATTTATACATAACCACACTTCTGTGAATAGAATATAACAAAATATGTTTCATATTGCGGATGAAATTATTGTAGCAATATAAAAACATAAACACTACGTGTTTTATTATATATACTATTGGATTATTTTAGATCAGACTAGAATTATTTGGATAATATGCCTCTTAGCCAGTTTAGACTATGGAGGCAAGCAAATATTCAAGTAATGGTATTACACTTATACAACATAGGCCCCAATTTGGCAAAATACTTTGGCACATACCTAACTTTAAGCACATGCTTAAATTAGAGCTGATTAAAAAAATTATATGGAAAGTTTTCCCACTGAAAAATCTGGTTTAACTGAAACTAACACTTTTCACAACAAAATGACAAATAGGACCACCATTTTGATTTGCCTACAGGAAATGTCAAAATGAAAATTTTCATTTGAATCAACACTTCGATGTTTTGGTTTCAAAATTCCAAAAGTAAACAAAACTAGTTCATTTCATTTTGACTTAAAATGTAAATTTCTTTTGGCATCTTGAAACTGAAAAAGAAAAACAAAGCATTTTATGTTGAAATGTCAGTTCAAAATGGCAATTTTTATTTTATTTTGATTTAAACTGTTGTTTTGGTTTTATTGAAACCAAAACATGAAAACAAAATGACATTTCAAGTCAAAATGAACATTATCATACTGTTTCAAGATGTTAATCTGAAACAAAAACATTTAATTTGAAACTTCCAGCAGGAAATCTGAAATTTTTCAACTGAAAAATTTCTAACCAAGATTTTTTGTTCAAAATTTTGCACAGGAAAAATTTTGGTTTTCCAAGCAGCTCTCGCTTAAATCCCATTGAAATTAATGGGAGTTAAGCACCTGATTAAGTGCTTTGTTGCATAGCAAAGTCTGCTGAACATCATGCCACAAAGCTGTCTCAGACAATTGATTTCAGTTTGCTCTTAGTGAAAAGGAAAGCTGGGGAAAGAGATACATCTTATATTAGTGTTCCTAGCATACTGTATTTATAATGCACCAAACAAGAAATGAAAACCAAAGAATATATGCATGTATACAGATTTCAAACACACTATTTCCTCAATTCTAGAAATGTTCAAACGCATAGATATATACATTATACCATATATATTATATATGTATTACATGTTACATAAAAAGTTACACATTTCAAATATATTAAATAGCAGTGCAGCAATCCCCGGTTCTCTCCCCCTGTTTACATATCACTAATGCCACTATATCCACTGGGATTGTAAATGACTTCTTTCCTTCCTCTAATGCCTTGTCATCATGAAACATTTCCTGATTCAGAACTGCTGCTCCTTCCTCTTTGTACTTCTGTATTCTCAACTACGTTGTGTGTGTACATAGCTTTCCCATCGTTATACACAAAATAAACCTTCTGCCTTTGTCTCTTTATGTATACTTTTCATTTTTCTGCTGAGAACTGCTTTCATTTGCTTTAAGTGTACCATGACTTCTGAATGTTTACACTTCACTCGTGTGTTACACAAATATATAAACCGTAGCTCTTCTGCACTGTAATGATACCCTTTTAACATATGCGGCCACTTAAACATCTCTTCAGACTGATGCCATTTAGTCAGAGGAGCATTATTCTGCACCCCAGGACAAGCATCCTTTATTTCTTATTCCAGAATATATTGGATGCCTGCTATTTTGATATCACCAAATGTCATCAGCAAAAGCATTCACTTGGCACTTCCCTATTTAAACCTGAACCTTGCTCTTCCCCAAGTTTCTGATGCTGGAAGTTTGCTATGTTTTAGTGTAACAGCTATAAACAAAGTATGCCGTGGGTTTTAAAGGAGTAGCACACAATGAGGGAACAATAACTGACATAGTGTATGCCAGATAACACAAACTAGTCCAAATAATTACTAGGGTCTTTACAGCAACATCAAGATGTGTAAATAATTGAATATGTCCAAATTCCTTACTTACTTACTCTATTTTTCAGTTATTGTTCTATTAAAATACATGGGATTCCAGTAAAATTATTTTAAGGTAACAGAGAGAAGAGATGAATGGCAGAAAGTGTCCATAGATACTGTGCATTTGATTCAGATAGCTTAAAGTGATCCACAAAGGATTTTTAAAGAACTGAGCTTTGTTCTTTTATGTTTCTTTCTTAAAAGCTTTTTGAAGAAAGAAAAGCAAAAAAACCAAAAGATGATTTTTTTGGTCTTCTTTTCTTTTTACTTTAGAAATTCAGGCTTCATCTACTCTGGAAGACTGTGTGGTGACTGGAAAACTATTGAAATTATGAAATCCCAAGAGACCAAAATCTGAGTACTTCAGGAAGGCAGGGATTTTTAGTCAAGCCATTAAAAAAAAATTAATTACTTTGTTAACCCCCATTTACTTTCAACATCCTAATAAGGATGGGGTTAGGATGTCTTTGTTAAAGTGTAAACATACCATCCCCTTCCATTAAAATATGATAACCTATAGAATACATCTCTGGGGCTACCCCATACACAGGTTTCCAGTGAAACCAGGGGAGAGCAGACTTCATAGTTCAAGGTTTAAAAATTACGATTTAAAAATTTTTATAAATATCATATAAAATAAGCTTAACAAAGTAATTTTTTTTTTTAAAAAAAGGACACTCCACTGCAGGTCACCTGTAAAGGGGCACAGCTAAGAAAGCAAACAGAACATATGGCTGCAT